TCAATTCCTGAACCTGAGCGAGGTAAGCTTCCATTCTACTATCTTTTGCTTCATAGTCCCCGGAAAATTGATTAGCAACGAGCTGCGAATCGCAAAAAGCCCGTAACTTTGCGACACCTATGCCAACTGTTAGACGAAGTCCTGCAAGGAGAGACTCGTACTCCGCCTCGTTATTCGACGCATTAAATGCGAGACAAAATGACTGTTCAATTACCTCACCATACGGGGATTGTAATCGGATACCGATCCCGGAACCCTGTTTTGAGGACGCGCCATCTACATGAAGTATCCAAGGTCCTTCGTTTTCTTTGGCCCCCTCGGAGACCAGAGGTAGTTCGACCAGAAAATCTGCGAGGACTTGAGATTTCATGCTTGTCCTTGTTCGGAACTGAATATCATACTCGCTCAGCTCAATTGCCCATTTCACCAATCTTCCTGACTGACTCGGACTATGCAGAATTGCCCTTAAAGGTTGCGTGGTTAGGATAATAACCGTATGAGATTGAAAATACGGTCTTAATTTCCGAGCCGAAGTAATCACTGCCAGAGCTAGCTTTTCTATCATCGGATATCTTGACTCCGCTCCCGAAAAAGACTTGCTTACATAGAAAATCGGTCTTTCCTCGTTCCGATCCAATCGCACTAACACTCCACTTACTGCGCTGTCGGAAACTGATACGTACAAGAAAAGCTCTTCTCCGAACTCGGGTTTCGCTAACACAGGAGGTTTGGACAAATAATCTTTTAGATTTTTGAAAGCCTTTTCGCAATTCTCATCCCAGATGAAATTCTTGTTTGCTTTTCGGAGCAGATCATAGAATGGAAGACACCTATCGGTTGACCTCGAGATGAACCGGTTCAAGGCTGCTATCCGCCCTGTGAGTCGCTGAACTTCCCGGATGTTACGAGGCGAAGTCATTGCCAGAAAAGCGTTCAGCTGTCGCAGATTAGCTTCGATTCCCCGCTCTGTGACAATGTAACCCAAAAACTCTCCCGAAGGAACTGCAAAAGTGCACTTGGTCGGGTTCAGCTTCATTCCGAACTTATTCAAAATTGCGAAGCACTGCTCTAGATGCTCAATATGCGAAGTGCTTGATATTGACTTTACCAGCATATCGTCAATATACACTTCCATCGTTTTACCGAGGAGATCTTTGAACATCATATTCACCAACCGTTGATAAGTGGCTCCGGCATTTTTCAACCCGAACGGCATGACTATATAACAGTAAGTTCCACGGTCCGTGATGAAAGCTGTTTTTTCCTGATCTTCCGGATTCATCAAAATCTGATTATACCCGGAAAAAGCATCCATAAAGGACATCATTTCGTGGCCCGTAGTTGACTCCACAAGTCGGTCGATGTGCGGAAGTGGGAAACTATCTTTAGGACAGGCTTTATTGAGATCGGTAAAATCTACGCAAACCCGCCATTTCCCATTTTTCTTCTTGACTACAACAGGGTTCGCCAACCAGTCCGGATATTTGACCTCGCGAATCAAACCGGCATCGAGCAGGCGCTGAACTTCGGCATTTACCGCCTCGGCTCGGTCCGGACCGAGTTTCCTGCGCTTTTGTTTTACTGGTTTGAAAGTCGGGTCAATGTTGAGCTCATGCGAAATGACCTTTGTATCGATCCCAGTCATCTCCTCAATTTTCCAGGCGAAGGTTTTTTGATTCCTTTTTAGGAAAGTTATCAGTTCGGCTCGGAGTGTTTCGCTTAATCCCGCTCCTATTTTCACAGTTTGATCTGGATACTCCTCATTAACTACCACTGGCTCCACGAGGTCACTGCTTATTTTTTTGACGGGATTTGCAGGCACCTCGAGCTGTGGTTGCTATTGAATTTTAAGCTTATGACTGGACATGTAACACATCCTCGCAGCTCGCTGACTTCCCAGGATTTGCTTCACTCCGGAGTTCGTAGGGAATTTCAAGCATTGATGATACGTTGAAGGTACTGCTTTCATCTCGAAATCCAGGGTGTTCCCAAGATAACATTATAAGCAGCCGGACGATCGAACACCGTAAACTCAGTCATTTTGACTATGCCTTCTGCGCATACCGGGAGCATAATCGTTCCTAATGACATTGAAGTTTCGCTAGTAAAGGAAACCAAAGGCGATGGTGGCCCCCTTATATCTTGCTTCGATATCCCCATTCTTGTCAAAGTATCGAGGAAGATTAAATCCACCGAACTCCCAGTATCGATGAGAACCCGAGATACTTCGCAATGCGCAATATCGAGTGTTATGACCAGAGCGTCATCGTGTGGTTTGTCAAGTTGACTGGTTTCGCTTTCGGAGAATGTTACTTCGGGTAACTGTTCCTCAGTAAGCCTGGCCTTCTTGATAATCGGGGGGGTTGCCCTCCGTTCGTGTTGCTTGATTGCACTTATGGAATCCCGAAAGAGCTTAGATCCCCCCATAATCACCTGGATTTGCTTCTTCGGTCCTTTAAGAACATCAGGGGACTAGATCGTTTTGGTTTTCTTGCTGGGAGGAGACGGTTCCTCTGCTGCTACTGTATGTTCCGACGGATGAGTTGGTTCGAGCTCCGAAACATCGATTTCGGCTATTTCCCCGGATGCGAACTTGGCAGCCAGTAACCTCCCTAGAGCCTTGCAATTTTTTGTAGCATGCCCATTGACTTTGTGGATCTCGCAGTAGGCGTTTGGGTCACGAATCCACTTGTTACTCGGGAAAGCGCCGTTTTTGCTCTTAGGTGAGAAAGATTGCTTCGCAGGTGAAATCTTCGTAGAACCTTTTGGCTCCTCCCGATCCACTGAGAATGTGCCAGCTCCAGGTTTCCGAGCTTCAGGTTGAACAGGTTTCTTCTGAGGAAGAAGCTGAGCAGGTTTCGGAGCTGCTTTGAACTTTTTAGCTAGAGCGGCCCGCTCTTCTTCCGCGTTTATCCAGTTCGTTGCCCGATGGAGGGCATCTTGAATAGTGGCCGGTCGGTTAACAACCAACTCTTCTCGGAAACGGGATTCGTGCCATAGACCGTTCTTGAGTGCAGCAATTGCTGCGGAATCAGACAGGTTTGGGATCTGGACCATAATCTCTTTAAAGGAGGTGATGTAAGTCCGGAGCGGTTCTCCGGCTCCCTGTGAGAGGTTCCATAGCTGGGCATCAGTTACATCGCTCTTGATGAAGTATCCGTACTGCATGATGAAAGCAGTGGATAGTTGCTTGAAGCTATCGATCGATCCTTCTTCTAGTTGAGTAAACCAGGTCAAAGCCGGCCCGGATAGGTTCTCGGCGAAGAGCTTGCATAAGCCTGCGTCTACTTCGTTGGGCTCCAAATGTACCCGACCTGCGGTCACCTGAAAAGACGCTAAAAATTCTTTGGGATCTCCCTTACCATCGTACCCCGGAAGTTTTACCTTCCTTTGGTCTCGAATTCGCAGGGCTACAATTCGTGGAGTAAAAGGAGTCCTTCTCGTCTCCTCGATCACTCTATCGACTTCGGGAGCCGAACTGGTGGCTTGGTGAACCCTAGAACTCATTTCCCGAATCTGATTTTGTAAGCTCTGGATTTCCGGGCTGAATGGAAGGTGAGGCGGATGGGACTCGGTTTGAGGATGATGCGGGGTGCTGCCAAGATGAATGGGGAGAGGTGTTCTGGCTGGAACAAAAGGACTGCCGGCCGAATTTGGAGGTGCTTGAGCCTGACGGGATCCATCTCCAAGTTCACTCTGAGAGCCAAGAGGCAAAGAAGATGGGAGCGCGTTGTTCGGGGAAACGAGTCTAGGATCTTGAACCTCCGAAACGTTTGGACCATTAAAGTCCAAATGGCCGCGAAGTCCGCTGGTCCGCAAAGTCCCTGCAAGAATTGTATCAACCCGATCCGCATAAGCATTATGGGCTGACCTGATTTCGGAACAACTCGCCGTGAGGACTGCGATTTGGCTGCCGCTTTGCTCTTCAAATGCTGAAAGCTTCTCAGACAACGCAGTGGTGGCGAGCTGCTGCTGGTCGGTCTTCTCGGACAGATCTTTAAGCAACTTCTTGATCTCGTTGAGGACTGAAGTCGGATCCGCTACGTCTGACATTTTTTCCGATTGATATTCTGGAGTAAAAGACTAGAAATCCCCTCCTTCTAGCGCCAAATTGTGGATGTCGGAATCCGCAATACGAATTTTAAGATGCAAATCGGGTCGTCTAGCCTTGCTAATTCGAGTAGCAATCGTCAAAAAGAAAAATGAAAGAGTGAAAAATGTGTACTCGTTTATTGCTCAAGAAAATCGTCCCCCCCGTTACAGTGATTTACAACCCCTATTTATAATTACATCGTCGAAATCCGTTTCCCCTAATCTAGCCGCGAATCACGCCCTTATTATTATTTCCGTTTCGAATCTTCCTCGATCTGTGAATTCCGTATAACCCGCATTCCAATTACTTCGTAGATTCCGACGTTACGTTCGAGCTGGATTTGAAATTAAGTGGGCTTTTCACCATATGGGCTAGCCTGACGGCCCACTTCGTTTCCTGAATCCTAAACTCTCCGGGCCGGATCCGAATTACGGGATCCGACCCCAACATGGAGTTTTTTCTTTTAGAAGAAATAAAAATACTTCGTAATTGTAATTGTTAGAGAAAATAGTTACCAGAAAAAGAAAAGAAAAAAAAATTAAATGCCTAGAATTCTATTTACTTTCGGTAAATGATTTGTATTAGACTATTAGAGCATGGACAGTGGGGCAAGCAAGTTGGTGTGAGTCTTGGGGTGTAAGTATTAAAAAAACGAAAAAATTGTCTCTCTCTTCACACCCGGATGTAAGTTTACACTCGGGTGTAACACTTTTTCTCTCTATCTCTCTCTTTCTTTCTCTTTTTCTTTTCTCTTTTGTTTTAAATTACAATACTAAAAAAATACTTACACCCACACAAACACATTTGCCACTAATGGTCTTAGTAAAGAGATGCTATTGTTTGTAATTGTAGTCTGGAGTGCTTTGGAATAAACAAGAGAAAAAAACAAAAACAAAATATGGAGTATTTCCTTCCGTAGAGAAATAAAAATATAGAAATCCCTCCGTAATTGTAAAATCGTAAGAGAAAATAATTACCCGAAAAAAGAAAAGAAAAAAAAGAAGTAAATGCTCATATTTTCTACTACTTATTTTGGGTAAATGAATTAAACAAGTAAAGAGATATATCTAACTGCTGTACTTGTGGTCTGCGGTGCTTTGGAATCAAACAACAGTAAAAATAAACACGGCGGCTCTGAAACAGATCTAGCAAAAGCTATGGGACGATTTTCTTTCCTTCTCGCCGCCGTGAAAGGTCTGAGGAAGAAGAAGAAGAAGAAGAAGGTAAGGTCGAAGGCAGACGATTTCGAAAGAAGAAGAAGAGCCATGGTCGAGCCCGATTCGAAACCCATCAGCTTTGACGATATCCCTGAAGATCTGTTGATGAAGATCCTGGCGAAACTGCAGGCGAAACATGTGACGAGGTTAATGGGCGTCTCACAGCTCTGGTATTCCCTCATCGCCTCCCGTTATTTTACAAAACTTTTCCTTGAATCCCCAGCATCGGCTAAACGACCACGCATGCTCATGTCTCTTGTGGACAAGGCAGACAAGCGCCAGTATAAATTCCTCACATCTTCATCGACTCATGATGATCTCTCGGATACGTCTGTTTGTGTTCTCGACCAAGTTCTGAACATGCCGGGATTGGGAGGCGACTTTGTGAACCCTCTTAGGGGCTTGATTTGTGTCAGACTTCGGAGAAGTTTGCGAATCTTTAACCTCACCACCAGGCAGCGCGTGACCTTGCCTGTCATAAGATCAAGACTTGTGACTGAAGCTAATGACAATATTTGGAACTCCTTTTTGCACGACTCTGTTCACGATGAATACAAAGTTCTTAGCACAGTTTGGGAGGTGAGCGAGGATGAGGGGAGAGTAGTGAGATCTGAGCATCAAGTGTTGGTTCTTGGTCCTGGGGCTTCTTGGCGCAACACTCAAGGCCGCATTTATCCCCATCGTCCTTACTCCAGTGGCATACCCCTTAACGATGTTGATGTTTTGTATTATGCAGCTTGGATTGATAAGAACGTATCTGTGGTCATTAGTTTTGACTCGGCTTCTGAGGATTTCAATATGATTGAATTACCCATTGAGGCTGGCATCATCTGGCATGCTACTTGCGCTAGTCTCATGAATTACGGAGGCAAATTAGCTGTTTTTGAGTGTTCCCGGCTTCCTTCTAATGGGAGCGTCGACCTGTGGGTTATGGAGGATGTGGGGAAGTGGTCAAAGAAGACTCTGGTCTTGCCCCTTTCCCTTATGAATTTTGTTCATGGTGATGAGTTTAGCATGGTAGGCATGAATCACCGCTGTCTTGTTATGTTTGTAAAGACAATGGTCATACCGACTGAACCGAGACCCTTTATTCATTACGATTTGGAGACTAACAAAATAATAAGAAGATCCGAAATAAGTCCTCTACCGCGTCTTGGGTTTTTTGGATTCAGTTTGCAAATGGCTCTTTGGCAGGATGACATTGAAAACATTATGTATTTGGAGACCTAAATTTGTTCCTTTATATTTCACTCGTGTGATTTACTTGCATAAGTTTTTTATATTTTTGACATATTTGGATTGATAAAGCTCGATCCATAGCCAATCTCTACTACGCGGGATAATGCAATTTAGTGGAGTTGAACTCCGGTGGGGAAAGTGGAGTCAAATGGACTTAACCACTTGACTAAAGGCACATCACCTTCTTGCATAAGTTCGTACGTTTCATTTTTGTTGATTTTCATAATTTTAATTATGGTTGTTTAGTGGAAAAAGAAGAACAGGATGATCAATGGAAGAAGACGATGCAGCAATTCTCCAATGATCAATGGAAGAAGACGAGGATGGTCTTCTTGAAGAAGAAGATGACAGAAATTTCATTTGTATTTGTATTACATAAACACCAATAAATCTCTGTTTTGCATTTAACACATTGATCACACTTTCTCTCATTTTTGAATCTATTATATATCTTTGTTTTAGACACTAAGTCTTACACATGATGACACTTTGTCCCATTTAACACATGATATAACACACCAAATTACTTACATTTTAACCAAACATTATTTTCAAAAAAAAAAAACTTAAGATCCATGAAAAGTGTCTTACTATTGGACATAGTATTATTTGTTAAGACTTAGTTTGGGTATCTTAACTTTTAAATCTCCAAAATTTAAAACTAAAAAATTGGTAAGACTCATCATGGGAGTCTAACCATTGGAGATGGTCTTAGTTCTTGATTACTGTTTTTTTTTTTTTTTTTGGTCGTCTATGACTCAAGAAAACGATTGTTACTCTTGACACTAAAGTCTGGGGACAAAACATGTCAACAATGATGGAAGAGTAAATGATGAGCAGCAATGACAATACATGTCACCTATGCAATTTTACACACTAGCAAATTCAGACCCTAATGTAAACATTGAATAGAGCCAAAGACGAATCGTTACTTCTCGCTTTCTACCTTCACATGTTATAATTTTTCCTCTTTAACGAATCTCATGAAACATATTCGGTTCCTCTTCCTAGTCTAGTAAATGTAAACAATGACGCAAATTCGACGATCTTAATATGAATAAACATATCGTTGTTTATTTGTGTGACCATCATATCGTTGCAGGGTTATTAAAATCAAAGATAGATAATCAGTCAACCACATACGTACATGTAAGATCGTGAACTAAAGAAACAAATTTTCTTTGATTGCATTTCTTCCACATAAGTGATGAGTCTGATTCTGAATATGATATGCTTTAGTCAAAATCGATTCTATGATCTGACTTTGGTTACAAATTTACTTACAGATGCGCGTGGTTTTGCACGACTACAAAAAAAATTAAAAAAAAAAAACTTAATCAAGTGGAAGAGATAGCTGGATATCGATGTGGAAAATGGTAGCCAAGAGAAGATGTTGGGTGTGGGAGAAATGTGAGCACACATCTCGAGTCCCTATAGAGTAAATTTCTACTAATCTTATACAGGGCGGATCTAGAAGCATAATTAACCCGGAGCACAATATAATTAACATATAAAGTGTAAAAATAAAATACTATATGAACATTTTTTAAAAGACATGTAAATGAAATTTTTTTTTTGAAGTGTTAATCAACATTGGTAGTACTTTATATTAACGTAATTCCTTCAAACAGTTAAGTAAAGAAGAAGATAAAGGAAAAATAAGTTAACTAATAAAAATATTTATCACTTGAAAATAGTAAAAATAACGAGTAATAACCAATTGACTAGAAAAAATCATTATAGAAGATGGGGCACAACAAACCAATTTTTTCATCTCCAATACAAATTGCACAATAAACTTCAAAATTATCAAATCTTGCATAGGGCACGTGCCCCAGTATAAAAATTTCTTATACCATTCATTCATCAAATGTTGATTTGAATTTTTATTTTATTTTGTTGCGACGTATCATAAGGGTCCTTAATGAGATTCTTACTTACTTATATGTAATTTAGTATAAACTTTAACTAAATATATATCTAGATTCTAGATTATGTATTATCAAATTTTGAAAATAAAATTATAAATATTTCAAGTCATCGACATGCAGCTTGGTCCTCACCTCTGGGATGTTTGGAATTCTACTTATGAACTTGGACTTAAGTGATACCAATAGAAGCAGTATGAGTAATCCTTACGGCTCCTTCTCACATGATCCTCATCTCAATCACATAAATTGTATTGCTAATACATGTGAATAAATTATATTCTTATGTGTGAAGACTATCATTAGTGTTTTGATCTATAAATAATGAGCTTTAAGATAATAGCCTCAATATCTGAAACTCAAATGGGAAACTTTAGCCTAAGGACTAAATGAACACATGAGCATTATTCAAGGTCATGATCTCTTTTGCTTGTATATGTGGTTTTATGAGTAGAAAAAGTTTGTGGCCTTTCTTTGTAGCTTGATGGAAACAAGGTAGGGTATGATCTGATTATACTTTTCAACTTGTATAGATTGTATAGAAGCATTTTTTTTTAACAATTTTTTTTTTACTAAATATGTTAATAATAATATCATTAAGAATGAAAAGTTTGGCCATTACAGAGAAAGCCTTTGGTCATTGAAGCCTTGGCAAAAAGAAATAAAAACAAGATTTCAATATTTGGGAGACATAAAAACTGGGTTTTATGAAATCCATAGTTGCATCAGATTGTGGAATCGCTTACGGTGACGCCTTGCAGTGATAATGTTATGTACCTCTCTGTAAATAAGATTGAAGATTGTGCTGGGAGGTATTGAGACCTAATTATGGACCAAGTTATTACGCTGTTTCCATAAATGATGGATTGAAAGCCTGCACTAAAATTTTCCTGATAAGTGAAAAAGCAAGTTTTTTTAACAATTTTATAAACAACCAACCCACGGGTAGCGTAGGTACTCACCTAGTAAGTATGAATTTTGGCCATGAATGACGGGAAAAAACATGTATGCATACAAGTCATGAACAAAAAGTTGCTCATCAGAAATGTTTTTAGTGAACAAGTAGTATGCATATAAGTCATGAACACAAAGTTGCTGAGCAAAGAACTTTAGCGATTCGCTTCAATATCGATAATGGTGAACAGAAAGAAGAAAAAGTAAGCATATAAGAGCAACTTGACAAACCATGCGATATTATCTATAGAATACACATTTAGACTCTCAAAAACACTTAAAACTGGAAAAATGACAAGAGATGTTAAGGTGGCATCAGATTAATGTCAATTCCTAGTACCAAAGTTCTATCCATTAATGCACAAAGAATCAACTATCAGGGATCATGATTACTGCTCTAATAGGGAAACGGACGTATAAATCAAAACCACATCGGTATCAAGGATATACCTTTTGATGATGGAGTCCGACCTTGTGTGGATCCTGGTTTGGGGAAACACACAACGATACAAAATATAATCAGAGTCTAACTACTGAAGCCATAATTCCAAGGCCTAAGAAGAGGTATAAAAAGGAAAAAAAACCCCCACCATCAAGTCATATCAGCATTGGTCTGCTTAGTATCCTCACCATCCCTTGTCAAGTGTCAACAAAAAGAGAAAAATGTGCCAAACAATCTAAAAAAAAAAATGAAAAACACAATCAATGGAATGCTAAGAAGAGGAAGCCAGATTCATAAGAGAGACACGATCAAACCGACAAAACCAACTTAGTTTCAAAACGGGTGTCACATTAAGACACAGATTCATTAGACAAAACCAAAACCTTGGAGTTTCAGAAAGGATGCAAGGTAAAGACACAAAAACAGAGTTTAGTAAAGTCTTAAAGCTCCCTATTACAATCCCTCTCCTTCAGCTTCTCCTTAAGCTTCTTCTTCCTCTTCCTCATCATCGAGGTACTTGTGGTTTGAAACTCTGATTGCTGGATTATTGATGACCCTAGTTCTGTTATTGCTAATTTATGTTTTTTTTTTTTGTTTGTTATTGTGTAGTTAATAAAATTAGATCCATCTTATGTAGTTACAATTTTTATGGTTACATTTATTTTTGACTCGAAATATCAATTTATACATTTTCATGTATAAATCTGATTATTTATATATCTAAGATCCTAATATTTCTTCATTATCATGACTACATACAACAATAATATAGGATATTATGATATAGTGATATATAATTATGTTACTTGTGTGGTTTGAAACTTGTCTAACTTAATTATAAATAAAAAAAAAAAATTTCTCTGTGTACTCTCCTTATCTAATACTCCGGCCACATCATAATAAGCTCATGATTAAATACTGGATTGACATAATTTGAACAAGATCTGAAGAGATTTCATATGAAAAGAAGAAAAAGAAAGCAAAAATTAAAGAGTCATTTATCAGCACTTTTAGAGCTTCTACTATTGGATATAGTCATATAAAATAAATATTCGTGTCTTGAATTATGTCTAACATCTTAAAAACCCATTACTTGAAAAAACTTGCATGTCAATGTTACCAACTTACCAGAAGACACAAAAATGAAAAGAGAGATGGTCATATGATAAGTCGTATGTGAACCATAAAACGTAATAATGAGAAAAAAGTCAAGATAAAATTATTAAATTAATAAGATGTTAGGGAGCAAACAACTAAACTACAACACAAATATATTTTGAGTAATTAGTGACCATTGATATAAAAATTTTTTTAGTAAATTAAGAAGAGTAAAATGAAAGTAGTGCTTGATTTATTAATATAATTTTATAATTTTCATATTTTAAAGAAATAAGTTAAGAGTAGGATTTAATGCAATAGATAACTTTTTTTTTTTTTTTGCTATTTTTTATTTAAATAATGTAAAATGACACATGTCATTTGCTTGTGTGATGATGTGGCACTCATATGGAGAGAGTTGACCAACTTTCATATATATGATTTATTTTTATGAAATTAAATATGAAAAACCCACGTGTAGCGTGGATTCAAAAACTAGTATATAATATGTATAATTATAATAAATGTACCATTAACCTATGAAATAGAAAATGTAAAACCTATATTATTTGTTTAGTGGATACATGACAAATGCTAAAATAATGATGTGTTACTCATATTGAAAGAGTTGACCAACTTTCATATGATTTCACTATAAAAAAGTATAGTCTTCAATTACAATTTTACATAATCAAAAGAAATTATGCCAATGCATACCCAAAACCGTTTTACAGTTAGCTAATTCATACCCGGACTAAAAACTTTTGGTCAAAACCTGCATTAACCAGGGCAGACAAAGTGTCAATCTTGAAGGCCCAACTCGGCCCAAATAGGCCCAATACCTTTCTCCTCCTTTTTCATGTCTGCGCGTGGATATTCTCTGAAAAGTGTATCTCCTCTCTCGCCTCTCTCTACTCCTCTAATAAAATTCACTTTGCTAGGGTTTTCGATTTTGTGTATTTCACAATTCACAAAACCCAAAAATCTGGGTTAAACAATTTGGTTATGGATTCTCGAGATTCGTTATCATCCGACGCCGCTAGAGATTCGTCGTCACTCTCCGAAGACGCAGCTGTTCTCTCTGTTACCTCTGCACTCGCTAAAACCGCTCTTTCCTATTTCCAATCTGGAAAATTCGAAGAGTGTTTCGACATTTTGATTCAGCTTGATCAAAAGAAACATAACGATCCCAAGGTTCAGTTTTTTCTTCTTCTTCTTCTTTGGATTCAATAGTTTCGCTTGAAGTTTGGATTTGCCTTTAAGTAATTCTACCAGTTTTGATTCTTACATGTTTAGATCGATACTTAGAATAATCAAGTTTAAGTTTGACTTGATATACATTTTACTAAGTTTAGATCTGACTTGTCCAAAGTTATTGATTTTGTTTCTCTTTGAGTAGTTTTACTCTATTGCGAAGTTGAGATAGGGTTTTTGTATGCATCAGATTTGTAGAGGAAAGTCTTCATTTTTCAGTGATTGGACCTTTGATTGCCTAGATTTAGAACTACTTTACAAAGAATGTTGAGCTACTTTCACCTTCCTAGGTTTGAATGTTTATAACATTACAATTATGCGGCACTATATCATTTGACTTTGTTAATTATTTTTCCAGAAACCCATGGTTTATGAATTGTTTTTGTTATTGATCAAGCAGGTTCTACACAATATGGCAATTGCTGAGTATTTCAAGGATGGTTGCTCGAATTCCGAGAAACTGTTGCAAGGGCTTAACCGTGTCAAGGTATGAGCCATCTATCTATAATTTACATCAAATCTTCTTCTGCATTTTTGCTGTCCATGAGAATGATTTCAAATTGGAGTTCTCGTTTTTCTATCTTGTATCTTCTCTAGAGTCTAGACTGCTGGACCAGGACATTAGGGAAAATATACTGGAGAAAGTAATGTTATTATTAGTCTTTATGTATGACATGGTTTCTTCTTCTCTTCTATTTCTTCAGAAACAGAGTGAAGAACTTGCTTCTGCAGCAAGAGACCAATTGGAAGCTGCAAACCCTGGAACTAACGCATCTGTGCCAAAGGATCATTTTGATAGTACAGTAACAACTCTCAACATTGTATGTTCTCATGTATTCCCATGGTTTTTTTGAGTCTCAGCTATGCCATTCGCATTTGTCAAGGTTAAGTATTGATGTATATTGGTCTCCTGCAGGCAGTTACCTGGTTTCATCTGCATGACTATTCAAAATCTTTTTCCATTCTAGAACCCTTGTTTCAAAATATTCAGCGGCTAGACGAGGTATGTATCCATCTTTTTGTTGTATTTTGTTAAACCCGTCCTACTGCCTCTAAGTAGACAACTTGCTATTTATATGCAGACAATCGCACTTCAAATCTGCTTCTTGTTGCTGGATATTGCACTGGCTTGTCGTGATGCTGTAAATTTTTTGGTAAGTGTTGTCACTGGTCTCAAAGTCTTGAAATATAGTCCAACTGATCTCTTTTGCTAGTGGAAAATTCAACCAATATCCATGGGGCTGTTAGTTAAGTTTCTTCAAATGAAATGTAGTGCCTTTTGTCGCTGAATTTTAAATATGTCTGCAAGATTCTATTCTTGTCATGAAGAACAAATATGATATATCTATAACATGCCTTGCTAAATTGAAAACCAGCTGGTGTCCAATTTTTTTTCTAGAATACATGTAATCGGGGAAATATAATTCTACGCAGCTATAATCTGATAGGGAATGTTGGACTTTCAGTTTATTGCGAGGAAATGGATTTTCGCTTGAATGATATACCGTGACACCCCTGAATGACTTTTTGAATTGATAAGTTAGTATTCTCATTGCATGGAGTCTCTCTCTAGATGTTTCCTTCTCTCTGTATCTTACTAGTATTATTTACAGGCTGTGTTTGACTATATGGAGAAAGCTTTTGGTGTTGGTTTTGGAAGTCACGAAGAAAATGGAAGCACAATGCAACTTTCTTCAAATCAGGTTTCCAAGACATCTTCTCTCCTGAGCAGCTCGGTGGCGTCAGATACTTTGAAGTCCGAGTTAACAGCCGCTGAAAGTAGTCTGTGTGAGGAAACTCTAGACTATGACAATGTGCTAGCAGAATTTGAGGCAGAGAAACGAATGAAGCCAGTTGGCCATATTCCGGCAAACAATCTTCTCAAGACATTAAGCGAAAGGACGTTCTCGAATGCTGATCTGAAGCTTGAGTTGCAGCTTTACAAGGTCAGGTTTTTGCTTCTTACCAGAAACTTGAAAATGGCGAAGCGTGAAGTCAAACATGCAATGAACATTGCTCAAAAAAGGGACTCTTCTATGGCTCTCCTCTTGAAATCCCAGCTTGAGTATGCTCATGGGAATCATCCAAAGGCTATAAAGCTTTTGGTTGTCTCCGGTATTCATAAAGAAGCAGGGACTTCAGGAATCTTCAAAAACAACCTTGGTTGCATATACTATCAGCTTGGAAATTATCAAGCTTCCTCTGTGTTATTCTTAAAAGCTCTAAGGAGCTGTTCATCACTTAGAAGAAACGAGAAACCAGTGAAGCCGTTTTCTCTCTCACAGGATAAGTCTTTGTTGATCATATACAACTGCGGGTTGGTTTATTTGGCTTTGGGGAAGCCTCTACTTGCTGCTCAATGTTTCCAGAAGGCAAGCGTAGTTTTCTGGAGACAACCCCTCATTTGGCTCCGTTTAGCTGAATGCTGTATGATGGCTTTACGAAAGGGTCTTTTGGAAGAGCGAACCACTTCTTTGGATAGATCAGAAATCAGAGTCAGTGTAGTTGGGAAAGGGAATCGGAGACAACTTATGATTGAAGAAAATGGATATGTTGAACTTGCTGGCAATACTCAATTGTCAAAGCTTTCATTACCACTAGCTCGGGTCTGTCTCTCAAATGGTATATATCTGCTCAATGAGTCTCTCTCGAATGATTCTAAATCAGATCTTGGATCAACATTCTCTGTGGGGATGAATGAGACCAAAGAAGCATCATCCTCTGATCATGAGGAAGCTAACACGAACTCAGACTTGAAAGAGGCAAAAGGAGGAATGAGCCAGGACATAATTCAAAACTCACTCTCGGCTTTCAAGGATATGTGTAGTAAAGAAAAGCAGTTGATGCAACAGGCTCTTTTTGCCAATATGGCATACGTAGAATTGGAGTTGGAGAATCCTGTCAAAGCCTTGTCAGCTGCTACTTCACTCTTGCAACTTCCAGATTGTTCAAAGATTTATGTTTTCCTAGGCCATATCTATGCAGCTGAGGCCCTCTGCTTGCTCAATCGACCGATTGAAGCTGGCGCACATTTATCTGCCTATTTAGTCGGACAGGATGATTTCAGACTGCCATACGCGCAAGAAGACTTTGACCAGTGGTGGAAGCACACAAGCTCTGATTGTGAAGAGACTTTGGATCCGTCCACAGGAAATGCCCGGGAATCTGTTTTCCTTAAGCCAGAAGAAGCTCGTGGAGCACTTTTCGCAGACCTTGCTGCGCTGCTTGCCACACAAGGACATCACGACCAGGCAAAACCTTTGATTACACACGCATTAACTCTCTTACCGAACAATGTACAAGCTACAGTTACAGCAGTCTACATCGATCTCATGTTGGGTAGGTCGCAAGATGCCCTTGCTCGGTTAAAACAGTGTACCCGTGTGAGCTTTGTTCCAGGCAGACTGGAAGTGAGAGCCTCATAGAAGATTTGTACTCTAATCGGTATGGTTTGTTTTTTTTTTAAATTCAAGCTTTAGAAATTAGTTGGTTCTATAAATATCAGAGAATAAGCTTTTGTACAAGTTTTTTTTTTTTTTTTGTTTCATTTTTAATTTCTTTTATTAGTACTGTGGGATGATATTTGCATTCTTGACTTAGATTTTGGGTCGTCTGAGGGTTAGTCGATTTCTTGTTCAGGAACAAGATAAGATTGGTAGAAAAAAACACAAGTTTTTGTACTTTGTTTTAAATCTTGTTTCAGAACAGACCCTTTAAATTCAATTTACCTTGGTTTATTTTATTTTATTAAGGCTTTAGTAGATTTGAAACTTCATCCAAAAGCAAAGCTATAGCTTTTGGAACATGTGAAACCCTAGTTTTGAACTCGTAAAACCTTGTTCGGAAGTTATACTGCAGCATTCTTTTTATTTATTTATACAAAGTCTATAATTTTCTCTTTTTAATACAAATATGCAATTAATCAAAATGTTTCTTTAATTATAATAATAATAACTAGACTCAGACCCGCACATACGTGCGGGATTTCATATTTTAAGATATGTGTTGTATAACATATGTAGTCAATACGTTTGTTTTTATGTGGTATGTAACTAATTTTTTTTTCTTTTGGGGATCAGAAAATAGAATAGATAACTTAAATGTATTATCAAATTTTCTGTGTTTTAAATAAAATTTGGTACAGAAATTTGTTTTATGTTTGATTGGTTTTAAATTTTGAATAGAAAGATAAGTAAGTAATTAGTAATTTTGTTTTGGTGAATAATTGGATAGCTTTGTTTGGTTTTGGTGAATTATTTGGAAAGTTGCAGACTTGTTGTGAAATATTTGTAATATTGAATATTGATTATGATTTTTTATAGAATATTATAGTTTTTAAAAATATAAAATAATTAAATTGGTAATGCAAAATTATTGTTTGTAACTTGATACATTGATAATAAATATATACGTTTGACCCAAACCAAAAATATAGTGGCCCATGACTGAATCCAGAAGTTTTTTAATTTTGGCCCGAAATACATTGAGACCCACTTAATAATACTCTTTACATCGATCCATCTATTCGTTTCTTTTATTTTATTAAATATATTACTGATTTTTTTTTCTTTTTGGACAGAATAATGTCGAGACAACATTGTCTTATTAGTGAGATTAAACACCAAACCCTAAAAATCTCAGACTATTGTTCGATCTGAGAATCAATTACGAAATACTCTTATAATCAAGCTTTTCGTCGCTGTTTATCAAGTTTCCATCGCAGATTCTGAATTCTAGAAAGAGGTAAGGTTTTTATTGATTCAGTTTTAGAGAACTATTTTTTTGGTCAATTTGTCGATTCGATTTCCAATTTGTGAAATTCTATGTTTGAACAGAGACCTTTGGCGATAAATGTGAAGAACCCGAGCTTGTATGAGTAAGTATTGCATATTATATAATGAAATTTTGATTTCAATAATTTTTATAAACAAATCCCAAATTGATTTACTGTATTTTTGGAATTTAACCAGTAAATCAATCTATCTACATAAATCTTCAAAGCCATGGGTTAATAGATTTCAAAATTAGTTTGTATATAGATTTTGTTTCCTGAAATTTCACTCAGCTCCTCCTTCCTGGTTTCCACAATCGCCTTGTATGTCTCTATTACTTTCTCTAATAACCTTTTTCTTCATGCATCTTTATCAGCAATTCATGTTTCTCTTTCGATTTCTTCATGTATAAACTTTCCTTTTTTTCCTACTGGGTTTTAATTTGGGGATTTTACCCTCAAATCTATTAAAGGGTTTAAGCAATTGTTGTTTTTATCTCTCAAAATCACTTCTTTGTGGCTCTAAGAGTCCTGAGATTACCATTTTTAACATCACAATTACCACTTTTTGCCAATCATTACAGGCCGTACCTCAAAAGTTTTCAACACATTGCAAAAGGAGCTACCTCAGATTGTGACTCTCAAAAGTTCAAGTGGCGCTACATATAGTGTGAGAGTAGATGAAGATGATGAAAAGACATTGGGTGGGACAAGTTTGTGAAAGATCATTCGCTAGAGGAGAATGATTGGTCTTCAAGTTCCATGGACTGTCTGAGTTTGAAGTGCTGGTTTACGATGGACAGACTTTATGTGAGAAACCCACTTCTTATTTCGTCAGGAAATGTGGTCATGCAGAGAAGACGAAAGGTATTGATTTTAATGCAACATCTTCGAGATCTACTAAGAGATTTAACCCTTCTGATGTTGAAACTACACCAAACCAACAACTTGTTATATCTCCGGTTGATAATGAGCTAGAAGACCTCGTTGACATTGATGTTGATATTGATATGTGATACAACGCTAGATCCGCTTCTTGTAGTATCTCAGACCGGTTATGAGCAAGAAGAACATAATAACTTTGACATTGATACAGCATCTGCCCAGCTTCCTGTAAATGAAAGGCTTGATGTCAGCAAGATCGGTGAATGCTTGCTCAACTGCCAATTTCTTAGAGAGATCGTGAAGAGAAAAGGTGAAAGCTTTAAAAGGTGAGTTCAATAGGATTCTTTACTCTATATTTATAGTAATCCAAAGTCGCCTATAATTTTATTAGGGTTTACAGAATTATCGCGAAAGAGGATAATTTCGAATTAGAATCTTTAAGGTATATGCTTGATTTGTGGCGATTTTCTGCATAGCTATTATGATTTTTTTGGGTAGAATTTAAAACTGAATATGGATTTGAAGAGATTTTGTGATTTTAAATAAAAACTAATAAAGAAAATCTAATATCGAAGAATTAGTTATCTTTCAATATAGGGAATATGTGGGATTGAGTTTGCATAGATTTATCCGTGACATGCTTTTTTAAATTCGCATTTATAGTTTTAGTTGTTATGGAATGATTTTTGAAGCAATTGAATCTAATTTTTCAAAACTTTAATTGCTAACATATTCTCGATTAAGAATAGGTAAGGAATATGCTTGATTTGTTACTATATGAATATATATATATATATATATATATATATATATATATTTAGTTTTTTGAGTAAAATTCATAAATGAATATTTCAATAAACGGATTTTGTTAATTGTGGTAATAACTAATAAATGAAATCGAATATAAATCAATAAGTTTTCTTTTAATCATTGGAATTTATGGGATTGGGTTGTTATAGAAATAAAAGAGTAGTGATTTTCTAATCCGAATAAATAGATTTGCTTGTTATGTTAATGTATCTAAATGTATTGAATCTGATTATTATTTTCTTTAATTACTGTAGATTTGAATCATAAACGCAAGACGGCAAGAGCTTCATATCGGGCCTATTGATCGTAAGCCCAATAAGATCATTTCTCATTCAAATCGTAAGCCCAATAGGATCATTTCTCATTTAAATCGGGTCCGCGTGTTTTTACGAATGCAGATCCGACTAGAGGATCCAAAATCCGCGTCCCAGTTCGATCCTATTGTCCATTATACCCTTCGCCAAAAACTTTTTTGTAGTCGTAGAATCAAAAATTTTTAATGGCATCATTTGTAATTCTTTACCCTTTATAAGGTTATTTATTATTTAATGTTTTCTAATTAATAATATAGATGTAGAAAAGAGATACAAACAATATAATACGTGTACGCTAGGAAATTTCTCGACCCGCGTTAAAAGAGGGTCCTAGAAGTTTCAACTTCGACACGTGGCTCCTTCTCGGTCTATCTTCTTGAAGTCATACAAATTAGTTAATTTTTATAATCACTAAAGGCATATTAATTAATTCCCTTTTTTGTCGGCAATTAATTAATTAATTCCCTTTAAAGAATAATGTTCCATTGGATTCCCAAGATAAAACATAAATCCAAAGGGATTTATATAAATTAATAGATTGTTAATTTATGGGTAAAATATCACTAACTAATACTTCCTCCGTTTCAGTTTAGTTGTCGTTTTAGGATTAAAATTTTGTTTCATAATAGTTGTCGTTTTAGGTTTTCAATGCAAATGTTTGGTGAAAATTCATGTTTTGTCCTTAATGTTTTAATGTTTTGACCAATGAAAAAATTATAAAATATATTAATAAAGGTTAAAACAAAAAATTTAATGATTTTCTTAATTTGTGTACGAAAATCTTAAACGACAACTAAAACGAAACGGAGGGAATAGTAGTAATAAATTGAAAAGATCTTTAAAAGTTAAAGAGTGTAAATAAATAATGATTTTTGGGTATATTTACGGTCATTTTCCTTCACCCTTTTTTATTCCGCATAAAGTAAAATATCCTGAAAACGGAAAAATTCAAGTGTTTTCAGATTCTCCTCTAAAAACGACAAAAGCTTGTACAAGAAATCTGACCACAATAATGGCGAATGACGAAGAACTCTCTGAAGATTCAAACTCCAATGGACTAGACTCTTTTGATGCTGTTAAACAACGTTTCAAGGATCGATCAAAGGTACATCAGATTCGATTTCACCATTTTGATTTTTCTCTTTTGGTTTTTGACTTCTTTGCCAATTTTTGATTTTGACAGAAAGTTGTTCAGACAAGAGAGTTATTGTCTAAACAAGCGGTACAAACACGTGAGATCTTGTCTAAACAAGCCGTTAAGATCGCTAAACAAGCCGAAGAACATGAGAGATTCATCAATAAGGTTTTTTTCTTGATTCGTTTATTTAACGAAAATCATGTTTTGATTTTTTAGTTCTTTCGTTTGAGAATGTTTGTTCATTATTGTGAAAGGTGACACATCTCGTTGGAGTGCTTGGATTTGGAGGTTTTTGTTTCCTACTTGGTGCAAGTGAGTTCAACAAAATGTGATTATTTTTTTATTTTTTTATGTTTTGTTCACAGAAGTTGTTGATATTATTGATTGTTTTTTTGTTCGCAGGACCTCAGGACATTCCTTTAGTTTACTGTTTCTTCTATGTGATCTTTGTTCCTCTTCGATGGATATATTACCGGTTTAAGAAATGGCATTATTATCTTCTGGTAATGTCTCTTCTTATACACACACCCTTTTGAGGTTTTGGTATAAAGAAATAGCATTTTGATTCTTGTTAAAACAATTGTGTATGTGATAGGACTTTTGCTACTACGCCAACACAATCTTCTTGGTTGATCTTCTTTTGTATCCTAAGAATGAAAAGCTTTTCATGGTTTGCTTTTCCTTTGCAGAGGTATGCTTTTTAATTACGTGAACACATGTATATGAGTCTTTGTGTGTGTTGGTTTATCAATTGGTTGTGTCTTGTGCTGCGGTTTATTTGTAGGGACCGTTGGCGTGGGCAATTATTGTCTGGCGTTGCAGCTTGGTTTTTAGTTCGCTGGATAAGATTGTTAGTGTTCTTATACATCTCTTACCTGGTGAGTTATATAATCTTTTTGTTACTCTCGGTGTTGACAAAGAAATGTTGGAGATTCATATTGCTAAATTTGATGGCGTTGATTCAAAATATTGGATCTTAGTTTTTTTTTATTCCCCTCTCAATCTTGTTTAGGAGTTAGTATCCTCTACTTAGAATAGATGTAATCACATGGTTCTCTGTTGCATACCCTGGATAAGATTTGATTATGCAGTAAAAGCCATGAATAGAGCAGATGATTTATTGAAGCTTATGCTCTCTCTCCTGGATTATTTAGTCTTGCAATGACTTTTTGGTTTCAGGGCTCGTGTTCTTCACGATTAGGTGGTGGAATCCAGCGACCTTTGCAGCTATGCACCCTGTAGGCACTGATCGTAGGGTTTCATGGCCTTATGTTGAAGACAAAGCTTACCTATTTACATGGCTGTTTCTTATACCCTTGGTCGTTTATACCCTTTGGCAAGTGCTCTATTTTCTAATCGTCAATGTCCTGCGTAGGCAGAGACTCCTAAGAGATCCTGAAGTTATGACTTCTTACAGGTATCATCCCTGCTACATCCCTACTGGTCTACTCCGTATGTTAATGCTGTCCTCATAGTTGAATGAATGATCAATTACTCGAAATATTATAGGTCCGAACGTCCAGTAGCTCCTTCGTCTAGTTAATATTATTGCATTGGGAAATATTGCTTCTCCGTCTCTAATTAGTAATATCGTGGAATAGCGGAATTGTGGAAATGGGAAAGATTATCTGAATAATCGCTTGATTCTTTTGTTTGTCATTAATAGTAAATCTAAACACAACAATTCTAATCAAATTGTTTATGTGTTGAAAAATGGTAACATGTATCACACCGTTGTTAATTTGCTATTCCGTGAATGTTTCATGGCTACAGCCACAAAACAATGTAATGTGTTCTTACTATAGACTGAACCTGTCCTGATGGAATCCTCTGGTCTGTGCAGAGAGCTGTCGAAGAAAGCTGAAAAAGCAAACAATAAGTTGTGGCAGCTGAGCGGTCTACTAGGGGATCAGAACCGTATATGGATGTACATCCTATTCCAGGCCATCTTCACGGTTGCAACCATGGCATTGACCGTACCGATCTTCGTATCTTATAGACTTCATGTGATCTTTCAGATCCTAAAGATTTCTGCGGCAGTGTGGAACGGAGGGAGCTTTTTACTAGAGGTAATGCCACGGCAAGTGATCCAGAAAGAGAAGAAGAAAGCAGAGATGCAGCCGATAGAGGAGCAGATACCACACCATGAACCTGTGTCACCTCCAAAATCTACTGAAACATGATGGTTATAACAGAAAGGTACATGTAAAATAAAGTTTTCAAAGGTGAATCATGATTGGTCTTTTTTTTGTTCCTCATGTTTTGTTCTATAACTGTTTGTTTCTCTTGTTGGTATACATCATTCTAAAAGCTTAATGTGAATGATCTTGTAGTTACCTTTTCTAAAGAAACTTGATATTTCCTTTTTAACCAAAGTTTTGTTCCTGTTTCGTTAGGACATTCTACATGAAAAAACTATATTTGTAACGCGTTTGCGAGAAAGGAAAATCTTCCTATTTCAGCAAAGTAGATTGGGATTAAGTTCTCCTTTAGATGCAAAGGATTAGAGCTGAGACGCACATTTTGTTTTCTATTTCTGCTGTACAAAACAACCATTACTATAGATCATAAATTTATTATCAACGATCAAAGTATAATGGCAATGGTGATGGATGTATATCTTCTCTTTCTTTTGCTTTTAGAGGTATGTTAAATCTAACCATACAAAAGCTCGAACATGTGGTTACCAGCCGCGGAATAAACTTAATAAGTGGGCCGATAGCATTATGAAATTCATCATGTACAATACGACAATTGTTCAGTCTCTAATTAGAATCTTGAGTATCTCTAAAGGTCAGTAGCTGATCTCACCGGTCGGGACCCGTACCGCCTTCCCACCACCGTACCTGCAGATGCACTAACATGGAGCCTAAAGCAATTCGTTCTTACCAACGACGACTTCCACCGAACCAGCCTGGGAATCCACCAACAACATGATCATTTGGAGAGCTTTGATCGAGCTAGAAACCATCACTATCGACCCCAATTTGAAGATGATCGAGACAATCCACCCGGAGAGAGAGACGCATCGTACCGGCCCGTTACTCACCAGAACCAAGTTCTCTTGAAGAATTCTACACAAGACCGTCAACTTGAGCTCGGCCAAGGAATTCACTCAAAAACCAACCATGAAGAAGCTTTAACTCTCATGGTTCCAATCATGATCCAGATTCTCCATTCCTCCTTAATAATCTTAGACGTCCATTCCTTGAAGAAAAACACCTAAGCTGCGACTTAACTCTCGACGCCATCACCGAAGATCCTCCATTAAAGCCTAACGGCTAGAATCATCACGCTCCTCTCTTTATTTCGCATCATTCAGTTTCTTTTTCTAAGTTTTAGACCGTTGTTGCACTTTTCTATTTAAGCTCTTTGTTTCTCTACTTTGTATTCACGCTTTGATCAATTGAAATTCAGTTTGTTTTTGCTTCAATACTTTGTGTCTTGAATAGCGCTGGCTCAAACATATGCTAGGCCCTGGGAAAAAAAAAATGGACCCCTAGTATATTGAAAAAAATAATATTTACAAGAATAAAACACAAAGAAAACATCATTTAAAAAAAATAAAGCTAACAAGATCATTTTACAAAAGAGATTTGGCCCAATAAATCAATAGATTTTTTGGAATTATTGGTCTAGAGTAAATCAACATCTAACTTGGGCCCAACAACCTGAGTTCGATTTTCCCTGAAAACAAAAACACATTTGTTTGGGAAGTCTGTCAGTTGGGCCTTGGCTCAATTGGTTTACCTGGTAGCTAGAAATACAGGCGGCCTAACTACCCCCTGGCACTTAGTTGGAAGGCATTATAAACTCAGGATAGGCAGAGTGGTAGCCCGTAAGGGCCTAACCGTTAACACGGTGGACCAGTCCACTATGTAGCACCTCGGTGCGTTCCTACCGGGGCCGACCGGATAGCCGATAGGGTTTATAAAAAAAAAAAAAAAACTTGGGCCCAACAAATTTTTAAGAAGAAGAATTACGTTATGCTTAAAAAGAATGCAAATATATATGTGCCTTTCTTTTTAATAATAATTTTCTTTTTTTGTTATACTCGCACATATTTTTTTTTTTTTGTTATGTTATTGTGAGGGCCCTTTTTGTTTGTGGGCCCCTGGTGATTGTCCAGCTCGCCCCCATGTTAAGCCGGCACTGGTCTTGAATCAAATATGTTCTTCCGAGTTCTAAGTGTTTGTGGAATCAAACCACTTAGGTTTCGTGTAGAGTCTTACATCTCTCGTGAGGAATAGCCCTTGAGATTTATTCCCTAACCCCTGATGTTTTTGGAATCAAATACTCCTCATCTAACGCTTCCGTCAATCGCTTCTAAGCCTTGAACCCGTGAGCTTTGTCTTGGTGGAATCCGGGACGTGTATCACCTTTAGAAGATAAATTAAATCATGAATGTTTTACCTTTTCATGTACTAATCCATCTATTTCACATGAAATGAATGGAATAAGATTTTTGATTATATAATCTATCCATAAATTTACTTACCAATTAATTAGGTCGCATTAAAATATACATATGCCAAATACCGCACTGAACAGAAAAAAAAATCAGAAAATCAGTGTAAATATTGTTGGTGTGTCCTTGACTACAATGTTTTTGGAAACATTATCTTGAATTCTTGATCATGTGTTTAGTCGTTTTTATCATATCCGAGTTTTCGACGATATCGAAATTCATGATGGTGCTTTGAGAATAACACTTGGCATATTTCTCACTAACGCTAGTATCATTATTTTTTGTTCTTTCAATGAAAAACTTAATTTTATTAATAGAATTTCTCGAAATGCGCTTAAGACCTGGACATGACGACGATCTATATTTACTGAACTGAGAAAAAATTGCCAACCCTGTTAAGGAGGTTGAGGTTGGACTTGCGTGGTGGTCGAAAGCAGCGATTCCGATCCACTAGCACGGCGAATACAAGACCATTTCTTTGTGACATTCACTATCAATAGGTTTGAGTTGACCATTCGGTTTCAGTCCCTGAATGCTAATTAACAGTTTTAAATTCTAATAATTTGCTATAAACTTTTGAGACTGTCTACATGGGATTTTAAACGATCAATCGCGATTAACTATCTCGCTAATTAACATTTTTATTGATTTTAGTTATTTTCTATATTAAGTTTTTTGCAAAAAGGAAATACCAAATCATACCAAATACTTAGTTGAATATCTCATATAAATTTTAATATTTTATATATGTTAATAATTAGAAAAAAACGATTTTAGTACACAAGAAATCACATTACTCAAAAACTAAAGTAGCCTTAAAAAACAGTAAGTAAAAAAACTTAAGAAAAGTAATGCAGATAATATTAGTACCTAGGAAAATTCTCATTTATGGTCAAGAATATCACTATTGATAGAGCTAATACCAACCATTTTTAACCTAGATCAACAATATCAATAATTCCGGTTTAATATCAATAACTATCATCAATACTTGAGCATTGAAGAGCTAACCTAGCCAATTGAGATCGATAACCAATTTGATTACCAAATTTAGAGTTTGCTGATGAATTTAGGCACGATAATTGGTTAGTATAATATTGATGACACATGTAATCTCAAACTCGGCAAAATTATATTGGAAGAAACCTAAATCATATGCCTACATCTATACTAGTATTTGAAGTACATTTGTTAGCGGATGGTTTAAATTGTTATCCGACAAATTTGGTACCCAATCCGATAAGAAATTTCCTTCATAAATCTTACACCGGATATTTCATATTTTTTTTAGATCGAGTCAAAACATATCCAAAATTATGAACCGGATATTCTATATTTAAAAATATAGATATTTAGAAGATTTGGTTAAGGTTTAGAAATACAGTTGGCTAAACGTTACATAATTCATATTTGTTACTTTATATAATAACGAGTATATGTTGAAATTGGCTAACAGTTATATAGTTCAAGTTTATTATTTGAAATTTATGTGTGTTTGGGTTGAAAAGTGCAGGGGGTCAGAGTTTGGATTGAAAAAATCCGCATGAAAATAGTTGGGGTTGATTTTGGCCGTTTTCTCGTTCTCCTATCACCTTTGTTTGAACATTTTTTTAACTATTTTGACTTATCATATAATACATAAAGTAAAAAAAATCTCAATTTTTAAAACGAATATATATTACTCAATTGATTAAAAAGGTGTGTGCTCAACGTCCCATATCGACTAAAATATTTTTATATTGATTCAGAATCATATTATAAATAAGATAAAAATCAATCTAAATCCGAATGAACAAGAAGCTCAACTTAATAAGCATCCAAGTTTAAAATTATATATTGTTTCATTCGGATTTTTAGTTTAACTGCTTAATTTTATCGGAAATATTAAGATTTAAACTTTTAAAATTTTTTAAATAATATATTTCATATATTAAAAATAAAAAAAAATTTATAATATTATGAATATTTGAACATATATAAACAGTTATTATAACACCAGACGGATCATATTGCTAGACAGGGTTATATAACGGGAAATGTTTTTAAGAAGTTTTAAATATTATAATTCATATATTTAAAATCAATAAAAAGTTTATAATATTAAGAACATTTGAACATATATAAAGAGGTAAAATAACATGGGACAATTATATTGCAGGACGTGGTTATATTGTAGGACGGGATTATATGACGGGACAAGTTTGAATAAAAAAAATCATTAACTCGATGCTTCAATACAGGTTAAATCTTCATTCTATTACTTTTTTAACACCACCAATATTAGACATATGTAATGATCCTGATTAAAATAAAATTATATAAAACAAAAATTGTCTTATGGTATACAGTTACTTAATAACAAATGTAAACTATAAAATATAAATTTCTTATAAAAATGATACAATTTGTAAATTTTTATATATAATATATACCATTAAATTTTAAAAATTATTAATAAAAAAAAAACAATTCGTCCCGCAGTATACAATATGTTAAAATCTAGTTTTATATTAGTATTTATTAAACAACAACCCTTTCATGCTAACTATTAATTAATACATATGTTATTAGATATCAGATGTAATCTGTTTACCACGATGTAGGCATCACACATTTCATACTCTCTGAAAAACAGAAAAATTCTCTTAATTCATGTTCGTCAATAGTTCTACTGGAATTGTGTATCAACCATCAATAATAAGCACGATATTATCAATGTCTTGAAAATGATTGCGTAATCAAAAATTATCATATCCACGACTGTAAACTAATCAAAATTATCGGTGGACTGTTCGAGTCCAAATAAACAAGAAAAAAAATATTGGAAACATCATGAAATGTATCTTCTCGTGCATAAAAATGATTTATTTAATAAATTAATAATACACTGTCAAAAGAAACA